AAAAAAAAAAAAAATTGAATCTGTTTTTTCTTATCTGCGAATTTGCATAATTCTTGTCTTTAATTACTTTATAATACTTTATAATTATTAATTATAATTTTACAATTGTAATAAAAATACCGAATTTTTCACTCTGTTTTCCGATATAGTAAAAGAAGAGATAGCATAGTTTTAAAATGTATAAGGTTTAAGATTTCTTAGAAAAGTTCTTTTAGTCAAAGAGTTATGTTTTTAAAAAGTGGCTCCTATATCAGACGATTTCACTCTATGATTCAATTTGACATCAGTTTGACATCCGCATCGGGGATATTGTTTCTGTTTCAGCTATCGGTGACCAGAATGAAGGCAATGAAGGCAGGACACAGAGGGAACATGTGTGCTGCGCCCGACACGAAAAAATGATCGATGTTGGATACGGTAAGCGGATTTAAGGAAAAATATATTACTTTAGACAGATCAGAGCATATGGACAATGATGCACGGAATATCGATATAAAAGGTGTTCGGCGTGAAGTTGCACAATTTTAGCAATCTAAATGCAAGCTAAATGTAAATTATGTTCCCTCGTTTCGCTCTTGCCGCCCTATATTCATGAGTGGTAAATGCTGGTGGCCTTGTTGCTAGATCTGATCCGGTAAATTAATATCGGGTGTTCAATCAATTGACGCCGATCGAGAGGATGAAGCATCCGGTGACGGTGTTCTCGTATGCCCATGATCAAAACATTTGATCGATTTATCATTGAACTATCATATTAACTATCATATTGAAATAGCGCGAGGCTTAATCTAAAATTCGTTCGAACTTATTATTCGATCTTATACTGTTGCTTATAGGTGGTATGAACCGATCAAAGGGCCGAGTTTGTGATTCGTTGAATGTTAACGCCCCTCACGAGCGAATAATTAAGTTTTCGCCGAAGCGGTCAGTTCTGCGAAATGACCGAAGAAGCAACATCTCCTTCGAGATTTGATCAATTGTCAATTAAACGATTTTGTTGGTCGACGTCTGGTATCCTCGGTCAACGTCGATCAACCAGCATTGTACCATTTTTCTGTCTTTGATTATCTTGAAAGATAATCAAATCGGCAATGGTTATTTAACCGATTGGGCTCGAATCTGTGCAATACTCTGGTAAATCTCGAGGTAATGCCGTTTAAAGGTGGCAATGAAATAGCCAAAGGTCCACCAGGGTAACGTGAATCACCAAGGAATCAACGCATTCCATGTCCCACGCGTTCGCGCCAAAAATAGCACGGTTACACTACAGACGGTTCTTATATATATATATATATATATATATATATATATATATATATATCGATATATA